GCAGAGCGAATTGCCCCGCGACTATCACATTCAAATTCCGCCGTCGTCCTAACCTCATGCCGTGTCATTCTTTATCTCATGAACTACATTGCGGGCGAAAAGCATATCACCTCGTTATGCAAGAAGTTATCTCCACCGCTCGTCACGTTGCTTTCCAAGCCGCCCGAGGTCCAGTATCTTGCACTGCGCAATGCTATCTTAATTCTTCAGAAGAGACCGGAGGTCTTGCGGAATGATATCCGAGTATTCTTCTGCAATTACAACGACCCAATCTACGTCAAAGTCACCAAGCTGGAACTAATGTTCATGCTAACCACAAAAGAGAACATCTCCGTCGTGTTGGCAGAGCTTCGAGAGTAAGAACTTCTCAGATTGGCTGTATTAAACGTGTACTGACATTCTTCGCAGATATGCCACTGAAATTGACGTTCACTTTGTGCGCAAGGCTGTTCGGGCCATTGGAAAACTGGCAATCAAGATCGAATCCGCTGCAAAGCAATGTATTGAGACGCTCTTGGAGTTGGTCGATGCCAAGATCCCATACATTGTCCAAGAGGCAACAGTGGTGATTCGCAACATCTTCCGCAAATACCCCAACCAGTACGAAAGTATAATCAGCCATGTTATCCGAAACATCGACGATCTAGATGAGCCTGAGGCCAAGGCAGCCGTAATTTGGATCATTGGCCAGTACGCGGACCGCATCGATAACTCGGATGGCCTCCTTCAGGATTACTTAGCCACATTCCACGACGAAACGGTCGAAGTGCAGCTGGCCCTGCTCACGGCTACCGTCAAACTTTTCATCCAACGCCCTACCAAGGGCCAGCAGCTCGTACCACAGGTGCTGAAATGGTGCACCGAAGAGACAGATGACCCTGATCTTCGTGACCGTGGCTATATGTACTGGCGTTTGCTGTCGACAGACCCAGCAACTGCCAAGCAGATTGTCATGGGCCAAAAGCCCCCAATCACGGCTGAGAGTGAAAAGCTAGACCCACGCACTCTCGAGGAACTGTGTCTGAATGTCGGCACTCTAGCCACCGTTTACCTGAAACCCATCCATCAAGTCTTCCGCGCTGCCCGCCCTCGGCGTCTCCTGCCCAGCCCAGCCTTGCAACGTTCCCCCGTCGATGACGGTACAGGCAACATGCTCGAATACAACCCTCCCACCGCAAACATGGCCTCCGCATCAACCAGTAATAGCGGTCTAGCCACAATCATCACTACAGGTGATCCCGTCACGCCTATCTACAATGGGCCTCCTCCTTCTCTCCCCGTCGGCCCGGGCGTCAACCCCGCCACTACAGGCCCCAGCAACATGAACGAGGCAGCAGATGCAGCAGACGCTTACTTCAGTGGTATCGGCTCCCAGCAAATGGCTTCGCTGGACCTCGATGGTACCGGTGGTGGAGGTGCGCCTCAGACACAGTACGTTGTGACTCAAAATCAACAGCAGGTGTATCAGCCGCAACTGGCTGGTGGGGCTGCCACAGGAGAGCTATTATTGTTATAATTCAGTTTAGAGAGGGATGTACTTGTACATGTAGATAGAAGACGTTTCTCTTGCGGCCTGCATCTAGTAATTACAAAATATTTTCATCTGAATGAAATTTCTATTTTTATCTTATCCATGTCCAAAATAAGGTACCCCTATCCCAGAGCAACTCCAGGCTTTGTTTAGGCACAGTGACCGTGGAAGATTTGAAATATGTAGAGTATTTCTCGTTGATCTAATGCTTTCATCAAGTAACTGTTTTTCTTCTACCTGACACAAATACTCTCCGTGCTGCGTTAAACATCTGCCCTCAAAGAAGCAGCGACAGCAGACCAGGGGACATGAAACAGCGGACGCCCACCAAAGATATCGCGATAATCCAACTTGAACTTGATTTTGAACGGACCAGGAAGCCTTGAACTTCCATGATCATGGACGGGGAACAGTCGAAAAAAATAAGGAAAGGAAAAACAAGACACGGAAACAAGAAACGTGATAGGGGGAAAGGGGGAGAGCAATGAGTATAATGTGGAAAATAAAAAACAAAGTAGGCAGAGAAAAAGAAAGAAAATTCATCTCAAGTCATGTCCATTCCTCTTCTTGTAAGCAGAGGCCTCCCACCATTCGCTTTTTTTTCTTTTCAACTCTCGGCACACTTATGAGACGCGGGCCGCGCTTAGTAGACGCGAGCGAGGTTACGCAGGTACCAGTCGACCAAACGGCGGCCGGCCTTGGTCTCGCTGACGTGAATCAGGTCGTCCTCAAGAGCGTAGTCGAGATCGTTTGCGATGGCAGGCTCGCCATCCAGGAGGCCACCGTCGACCCAGCGGATCTGACGGCTGCGCTGCTTGTTAACGAGCAGCCAAGAGCGGAGCTGCTCGGGGGACACCTCGAGGAAACCAGCAAGTTTCTTGAGGTCCATGGTGGTGTAGAGCTTGAGGTAAGAGCGGATGGTGGGGTTGAACAGGGTGTTCTTGACCTCGTCCATGAAGATGGCGGTGTGGTGGTCGACGGGGTCGACGTTGGAGGCGGGGTTGTCGAAGTCGGGAGGAGTAGGGTTGATGAACTTAGGGCAGGAAGAGCGGAAGAGCTCTTCGAAGACGGGCAGGGCCTCCGGGCCACCCTTCTGCATGCGGTAGAACTGCTCGCCGTACTTCTCGCGGACGGCCGAGTGGATGGTGTCATCCAGACGGGTGGGGTGGAGAGCGACACAGATGGCGATCAGGGCGTACATCTGGTCGTTCTTCTTGGCGATGGCTTCGTAGTTGTTGCCGCCCTTCTGGAAGTTCTTTGTCCGGGACACATACACGAGGATGTGGCTGAACATGCGGATGGCGTCGCCGTAGCGGCGCATCATCATGTAGGAGAAGCCCACGTAGTAGTAGGTGGTGAAGTGGGCGGCCATCACGCGGGCGAACATGGCCTTTTTGTTCATCTCGACATCGTCAAGGATCTTCAGGGCAAGACTGAAGTCACCGAGCAGGCAGTGCACGCGTAGCAGTCCGATGATCGAGAAGTAGCCGAGCATCTTGTACAACGGGCGCGAGCCGTACTCGCCGGCCACAGCCATTGGGTCCTCTCCCCGCTTAGTGGCGTTCAATTGCTCGCTGATCTGCGAGCGCTGGATGAGAGAGTAAAGCACGTTCAGCACTGAGTAGCAGCCCCAGGTGTTCGGGTTCTCGCGGAGCAGCTGGCTCTCCTCCTCGTTGGATCCAGTGCAAGCGACACGGTTGCGGTAACGGCAGAAGGATTCGAATTGGTAGATGAACTCGTCAATGACTTCCCAAGCCCAGTAGTACTGATTGTAGAGAAAATTATCATTAGTTTTCTGTATGTCTTTTGAAGATGAAGCGACCTGTTGATTTCACGAATGCCAAGCTTTTCCTTTTCACTCATGGCGTTCAACAATCGGCCGGGAAAACGGGACACCTACGTTAGGAACCTCCAAATCCACGGGGCCATCGGAATTCAGAATATAGTGGAAGAGACTGCAGTAGTTGTCGTAGCTAGCGAATTTGGTTTCAAGAGTAGCCTGGTATTCTAGCGGGGTGGCGGCGGCGGCCAGCTGGGCCTGAAGGTCATGGGCCTGCGATGCACCGTGGGACATGGTCTGGTCCAATTCGCTCATTCCATCGTCAAAGTTGACCTGCTCGCGGTAGTCGTTGACCATAGCCTCCTCCTCATTATCGGACTCATCGTTCAAGTTGGGGCGCGCATTGGCGCGGTCTTCGTAGGACATGTTGAGTGGGAAGGGGGAAGAAAAGAGGTAAAAATGCAGCAAGATGCCGGGATGAAACGGCAGTGAGGAAGCGTAAGGGGCGAGGTGGGGGGGAGGAGGGATAGCGTCGGCGTGTGCGATTTGCCAAAGAAGTCGAATTTTGAGGGTTTTCGCTTGGGTGTTTGTGCTTATCTTATCTGCGCATAAGTATTGGGATGACTCAGCTATGTGGATTTGTGCATGATGCACCCAGTACGGTGTAAGTACCAGGTACCGCGGTTGTCACCTGTTTTGGCGGGAAATTCTTGTACTATCTACTTTCGCTTCGAGTATAATTTCAACATAGTTATAGCTTGCAACTACCTACCTGGGTAAATACCTACATACCTACATATGTGAGTAGAAAGTTAATAACAAGGAGAATGAAAGAATTACGCGGAATTGCACAACATGCTGATGGAAGGGGCTCTAGACATTTCTAACTGACTGGATACTCCTTTCTGGCTGTTCCGCGTCTTCATATAAAAAGTGATCGTGTATATACTCCCTGTTCTGAACGCTTGTTTAAAGACTGACTCGGTGCTCTAGGTGTAATCCCTCAAACATGTATCCACCTATTCCCATCTGGTCAAAGCGTATGGTAATTCCAAATATAAAGACAGATGTAATAGGGCCCAACGGTGTCACAGCAGACAGAGAACGGTTGGCTTTGACACTTTACCAGGTCAGTTCAGCTCAGTACCCATTCTTGTACTTTCTAGAGGAATGCTGGGAAGTCGAGCACTAGAGACATTCTGTATTTCCTGAGTATGTGATTTCATTAACTAGCCAGGTGTGAAATAATTAGGGGAAAAGCCTTCCGATGGATCAGAGGCCAGCAACTGGTCGCCTGTCATCGGCTAACACTCTTCTGCAGATGATAGCCCCTACCTGCCCTTCCCCTCACCGTCGCCGCTTTCCCTTTTTTTCCCTCTCCCCAAGCCACAGGCGGTGATACTGCACATCCTCGTCTCTGGCCCGAGTGCCAGGAAGGCAGAGCTTGCACTGGCCATTACCGAAGAGTTGAGTAGGCCAGTGTCAATGTTTTATTCTGCCGTGACGGTTTTCTAGGATACTGCAGCTTTTCCTCAACACCGTCGTCCCAGTCCTGCCGTCACAATACCTCCACTCCGGATTTCCACCTTTGTTTCACCCAAGTCTACAGCAGGACGAACATTCTCCCATATCGTTCATATGGTAGCGGCATAGATGATTCATACAGTCACAAATACAAGCGCCTAAGCTTCAGGGCTCAAGACTCCTCCACTGTTCCGGGTCATCGAAGATTGCAATAGCCTCAGATGGCAATCGGACGCCAAGGTGCTGCGCGATCTTCCTGATCTCATGAATCACGTCGGCTGTTTGCTTAAACCTGTGACTAAGAGCCGTTCCAAACCGACACAGCTCAACAAACGCCTGCCTTGATTCGTCACTTTCTTCCAAGTGATGGACTAAGATCCGAAGACCTGTCTGTATGGCATCAACTATCTGGCTGGGTATATGCTTGAGGCCATACGATTGACGATGGATGCGAAGACATTGTGCCGTTTCCGTGACGGACCTAACCTGATAGAACTGGGCCTGTCGGACGGATCGTGGCTGATGAGGGTCATTCAAAATCTCAAACAGATGTATGAGGGCCTGCAGACATTTGATTCTTCACGCGGTATCAGCATAGAAACAATCACTAGGGCGCATGCAGGAAGACAGCCATGCTTACCGCAAGAGAAGGACTTGTGGGACCGGATTTGGTTGTATCTCGGGTACGCTCGGCCAGCGTTGCAGCCAAGCATCCAAACGATCGAATGGGTCTTGAGCTTTTCTCCACAACTCGTCAATATTGTTTCCCCGACGTTTTTCAGAAACGAGCTTTTGGACATCGACCAAGATTCCGGTGAGCTCAGCCAGTCCCTCCCTGACTTCAGGGAGACGTGCTGGCTTTTTGTCATATGTGATTTTGTTTGAGCGAGGATACGGTGTCCAGTCAAAGTCTTCGTTGCCACACATAATGACATCGGATGTGGGATATGGCAAGAGAGCAATCTTCTGCAGCTCAATCGACATTTGCCTAAACCAATTGGTTAAACATTGCTCGCTTCTGTAAGGATGGGCAGCGCTTACGAGCTCATATTGAAGACACCCCAGGCAGTAATCGTGCGTACACGTTCAATCTCTGGCAACATCTCCTTTTTCGACACTGCTGGGGTATCAAAGAGTCCTATATCCTGTGCCAGCTGAACTGCTTGACTAAGCATCATCCAGCCTTTCTTGACCCGCCCTTGGCATTTAAATCTGCCAAAAAAAAAATTAATATCGTGGACATGACTCGTTTGCTACAAGCCAGTGGGCAACATACACGCAACACATCAAGAGGAGAGCCTGGATGTTAGGCAGGTCGTGGTCATCATCTTCGACTTCCCACAATCTTTGCGCCTCATGGAAAAAGTTCTGTCCGCGGGAGAATACATTCTCCGGGGTGGAAAGAACATCAGGGCTATCAGAATAGGCCTACTGGGGTTAGCTAATGATTTCGCAGGGGGGTATATTTGCGATATCCATACGCTAGCCATTGACAACAGGCTATTGACGAGAAGGGGCGTGCAGAACTCCGACCTTCGGTCACCGAGTTTCATGTGTTGGAGGAAGATACGTTGATCAAGGAACTGTGTGCATGGGTGGTCCCAGGTAAAGTAGAGTGAAACTAGGTGCGAGACCAGATAATCATCATCTGTGACCTTTGTCCACGGCTTTGCTGGCACCTCGAAGAGAGGTATGTCGCAGAGGCTTTCCAGTGTGACGCGGGCGTAAGGGCTAACTGTTGGCCATTGCGGATGTTTCATATTTGGAATCTCTTCTGGTGAGCTTGCTATATTGCCAGGATCCGATGGTCGTCTCACCCCGTTGCCCGAGGTTTCTATGGGATGCTCCCCATACACTAAGATCGCCAATTTGCTGGCATTGGACAACTCTTGGGGGTCCCCGAACGTCGTGGCCGGGCTTCCGACCGCATGGGCAATATCTTGGTACGGTGCCTTTTTCCGAATCAAATCCATCACTTTGTCGAACTGGAGCTGATCAGCCGACCCGAGGGTGCTTAACAAAGACTCTAGTAGATCTTTGTGGTTTGTGAGCTCCTGGATCGTCCGTTTGACGGCAACCTTTCGTCTGAGGTCTCGACTAGGATCAAAGTGACATTCGGTGTTGGTGGACCGACAAGCCTTACATGGGGCATCCGGTCCAGAACACTGGATCAAGGAGAACACAACAATTAGCCATTTTGCTCCAGAATCCGGGACAAGCCAGAAAGAGAGAGAAAGGGAAAGGAAAAGACAGAGATCAATCGATGCGCCGACTCACCTTCCTCTTTGCTGCCTTGCATGCCAGGCAAGCCGTGGAATTCTTCTTTGGCCTACTGACAGCAGTCGATGTCTGCGGAGCGAACATGCGCGGCGGTCCCGGAGCCAGCGCGGGAAATTGTTTCGTGTTCTCGTGGGGGCTCATCTTCATTTTCAAAAAGATCAGCCTTGCGGACTATAATTTGCAAAAAGGTTGTGTCTCGAGATGTCTGACCGAAATATTCCACGGTTGAAGCTTCAACAATGCGAATCTGTTGAAGCAACGCTGGCTGATTTTTCGAATGGTGCGGGCAAACGATCTTCTATACAGCACTGAACCACGGTCCTAAGGCTTCCTCTTATGGGCCATCGAAATCGACGTCTCCAACGTCTCACCAGCCCGATGTCAGGAAGGGGGTAAGTGTCATGTCGCAATGATACGGGCGTCACTGTGGTGCGTTATTTACGCATGAGGGTGGGGCACAACTAAAAGAAACTATTCTGGAATCGGTTGAAGTGATCAAAGTCCACCTGCAGGTGACAATATCCCAAAAGCGAGAGGGTCGCGTTGGCAAACAGAAGAGGAGGTTCGACGCCCGTCACACAACCGGGGTAACCCGGTAGGCCAAGCTCGAATTCAGCAGTGATTGGAGGGCTAACAATTCCAGAAACCTGTCAATATAAGCCGATGACATGCAGATGGCAAAGGGGCCATCGAGTAGCCTGAGGGATACTGTCAAGAGATTCGGGAGATCGAGGACCGAATATGGAAAGCCCGGGGCTTGAACCAAAGCACGGGATACTAATCCAAAAAAATCAATGGCGAATCAAAAAAAGGAAAGAAAAAAAGGAAGAAAATGGGAGAAAACCCGAAAATCAAAAAAAAAAATCGAAAAAAAGCACCCTCCACCCTGTAGGGATGTATCAGTACGAGGTACCGAAAAGAGAACATTTTGAATCTACAGCATAGGTCGGTGCGCAATCTCGATGGTATTTTGATGTCTTTTTTTCGGAATACATGCCTTCTTGGAATGTGATTCTGTGATTCTTTGACTCTTTGATTGTCAAACTTGTTCTGCTTGACCTGATTCTACATGTGTACTTTCCCCCCTGTCCGATTCGCTCTTGGCAAAAGATTGGGGTCGGACATGCCGCCATTTCAAACCTGATACTGTCAGGTCTTGGAGACTGAAGCAAGATTTGTTATCCTGTATAGGAAACCCATATATGTCAATCATATATACCTCCATAACCTCCACCCTTTTCGCCACTTTTCTTCATGAACTAATTAGGATGCCATATTACAGGGAAAACCTCACACCCATGTCAAGATCGTATCCTGGTAAGCATTTGTGGAGAATATCATTTTACGAACCAGCCACGCTCAAACCTGCAGCCTTCGCTCCAAGATGGAATCTCGATTTCAACCTGGACGGGGGGCTTGGAAAAATGATCCAACGGCCAGGGTTCGCATGAAAGGACCCAAAAATTCCAGCACACCGGTCGACGGGACCACGAGATGTGCTCCAGGGCTTGCTACACGCTGTGGATCTCCCTGCTCCGTACGGAGTAGAATCTTGGAACCTTGTCCCGTCCCAAAGTCTTTTCCGATGTGGATCGAATGGGGAAGTTTCAGCCAGGGGGGAAGAACATCTTGAACCTCATTACCGGATCTACGAAGTACCGATCCCCTCAATGTTAGGCTTAATCATAATTTGCTATCTCGATACTTGCTGGATTCTCGAATGATTCAATCATGATCTACCGGGCTCTCTCGACAAACCCCCTTGGTCACTTTTACTTGATACATCCCCATAACTTCTTCCAACGTTTCTCATTGGCGGTTAAAATAACAGCCAATCGGAATCTCTAGAGAAAATGCATTTAATTTTCTTGGCATCCTGTCAATCACTCTGAACATCAAGCAACTGGCCTAGTTTGCATTCTCGCTGGCGACACTGCACTACTGCACCGGGGGTGATGTCAGTCACGTAGAGCTACCTTTTTGGGAAACTTTTCAACTATACTCTATCCATCTACACCGTATCGTATCTTGTACATTGTGTATACCCCACTAGTACTGACATGAGATACTTTTCCCAACATGACATCTCCCCGGCACTATCCACGCAGATTCTCGGGCCGTTCTAACTAGTCTTATCATAGTGAGGTCCGCGGAGAAGGACACCTTTTTCTCGGGGAAAAAGAGAAAAGAGCCGAAGGAAACATTACGCCTCTGAGCCTAGACGAACCATACATGCTAGCGTCGCGTACTGCCGCGTGCGCGCCCGGTGAACTGAAATTCAAGATAACGCCGGATCTTTGGTTCCGTCCATTCACATCCTATCGCTTGAGGTTGTTTACAGATGTAGATATAACACATCGATGTACTGCGCCCCCGCACAAGGTCCAGCCCTGTTTAGATGCCGGGACTAGGAGCCAGTGAGATCTGCTATGCGGCTGAGATCCCCTCCTTTTTCCCTCTTTTTACCCGTGTCTTGGGCATCGAATTCCCAACAATCCTTTTTTCCTGCAACCAAAGTACAGTGCAGGAAGGTGTAAATTGGCTGCAATGTAACGTGGTTTACGAATCTCTATCACCTGCATGTGTGATGAAAGCCCCCTCCCCCTCGCCTTTCTAGGAGAAAGCGGGAAACTGCTCCTGCCAAAAGTAGAGTTAGCGCGATGCAGGACAAAAAGAACGCGGTTATCCTATAGTTTTGCTGATATGCTCGGTAACTTAGATCCTAATATTCTGGGCCAGGCCACTTTCCAATCGATCTCGGGATTTGCATGTGCTTATCTATATTTGGTCGGACCCATGTAGTATACCAAGTATGTGTTTGTATATGCGTTGATGTCATTACTTCTTTCTCACCAGATAAAACAGCCAGATCTCCAGATGTCCTTTGGTTGGTCGGATGTGTTCACCGTTAGCAGCCCCGCTTTAACTAAGGTTTACTATATTCGGTCGACACTTTTAGATTTGTTCGAACAGGTATTTTCGAGTACTTATTGTAAATCTATACTATATAAGTAGTGATAGACATTTCAATTAGCTTTTATAATTTAAACCTTTTTTTTTTACTTTCAGAGAGCCACGGCCCGTTAATGCATTGCAGCTGTAGCGGGGTATTTAATCAAATTGACTCAATTCTTTGCCAAGGATTCTCTCTCATTAGTAGTAACTAGTTGCTTTTGTCGTCCCAATAAACCCGGCTCTTGCATATCGCCACGGGTGGATTGATTTCTGACACCTGCCATTCTACTCCGTACATTATACAGATCGAGCCATGTTTGCCCGTTTCCTTTCTTTTTTCTTGCACTATGATATTTAGGATAAGATCAGCCACGCGCAAGCACTGCGAGTCACGCCATTGTTATTGATCATATATGTCATGTTATCTCGGGATTTGGGCCTTGATTTCTATGACAAACCCCTTGATTTCAACCTGGTCGGTCCTATATCCAATTGTCGGATAGCCGGATACCAACAAGCGATGCTTGCAGCATATGCACATGTTAGCATCCAGTCCGCATTATTGGCCTGAGATATGTCACATATCATGGCACTACCATCCTTGAACTTGGTAGATCATGCCTCTGTCCTCTTATATTGTATATGCAGACCTCGTGGCGGTGATACCTGCCGACCAATCGCTCTGGCAGTAGTCTCGCCTTTATCAAGGTCCCAACAGATGTATCTATGCCTTTTTGTATGTTGGTGGCGTGCGAATAATGAACCCGACATCCCAATTGCTATCCTCTCTTTTGCTATCCTCTCTTCTTGGCGCATACTATTAACTTTTAATTATGCAGCCATGGTCGATACCATGTTCCTTGCTCTATGTGAACAATAGTCTGTCAGTTCCCGAGATATAATGTAGTCGAAGCCGTGGAACTATCCTGGCAAGATTATAGGGGTCAGCGGGTATCTGCCTTTTCGGTTAAGTACAGTAAAAACGTATCCATGGGATAGAACGAGGGAGAGATCCTCCAGCAATTTTTCCATATCAACCAGTTCCAGGATTTGTATAGAAGTGTTCGAAATACTAATGTTCTCAAGTCATATGCAGTAGTTCTTCCTTCATGCACTATCCATGATTTTACATTCCTACCTTCATTATTCCTACAATGACATTTTCAACAGGTTGGTTTCTGGCTCTTCTCCGTTACTCGTTCTTTATTAAAGGTAGTTGGGTGGATCTATGGATTTTCCATTCTACAGTGCTGTTTGTGAAAGCCCTAATCGACTAAATGCCTACTACATGTGTAGTTGTGAAAGGCCTTTCTAACAACTTCTTCTCTATCGTTAGTATATCCAAGCCATGCAAATACAATAGAAAAGATATGTCGATGATTGGCATTTGATCTTGTTTGGATGACATGCGACCCGGTCGTATGCTTGGTAAATCCCGATGTCCCTTTGGGCTCTTCAATGTAACGGAATGTTTCCAAGGTTGTCTTCCAAGCCTAAGTTGAGTCACATACTAAACCAAAGACTCTATCTACATCAAGCCAGACAGGATAATGATTAAATACTCAGAAACCCTTCCGAGGTTCTATATATATGTACCGCGCTGAGAAACTGAATGTCTCCCAATTGCATTCTACTCGGACTATACAGACCACTTGACCATATCCCGAAAGAGTCAGCTCCACACAACATGATACTCCACATGGGTTGTAACTTTACAGAGGCTGCTTCGGTTCCATACATATCACCTCAGCCTCGACTCTCAACGTTGGCTCCGTGCCAAGATCTCCCAGCGTCTTAATACGACCGACCAACCATGCTATGCGACCCCCATCTTGATGACTTCTGCATAGAAATGCGCTAGCACAATATATACCGATAATAGACAGTCATAGTGGCCGTAGCTCTGGCTCTGACTTGTTTGGGAAAACGAGGAAAGCAACACCGGCCGAAAGTGTCGTCTAGCACGTTGCCAGCGGATCCCCGTGAATGGCACCTGGGTCACTGCGCGTATTATTTTCGGGGTGCATGATCATTGCCGAGCTTTTGCCGTTAAGTTTCATTGAATGAGGCGCGGATAACTTCTCCGGCCCAACCAGTCTTCAGCGCATGAGAATTTGGAGTCGGATATTCACCGGGACTTTGGAATGAGGCTGGGTCTCTGTCGACTTACAACTTACTTATAGGGAGGATGT